AAAAAAAGGACAGTATATATTTATAAAAAGGAGGTTGAACATCAAAGTCTTATGCTAATCCTGAGAAGTTTACCCTCTCCATATTTCTTTTTCTCGTCTGTGCGGTAGTTCATACGTGTGGAAATGTCGTCGGACACAAAAAAAAAAAAAAAAAAAAAATTGGGGAACAATAACAACAGGGAACCGCTAGCCAAAAATATGCCAGAATGACCACCCACAAGTTACCCATTTTGCAAACAGCGCTTTGGCAAATAAGCGTGCATGCATAGAAATACGTGTAACGGGGGAATGGTAACTCTGGGTTTGTTCCTACTGAGGGGTTGATTAGCACAGAAAAGGAGAAACTTCCTCCTCATTTAAAGTTCTTATCGTTTAAGTACACCCCCCATACTATTAACCCAAAATACAGAACAAAAAATGAACAGATAACAATTTCCATTTGGTAAACACTAAACGGATGGCTACAGGTTGAATTCCCATCATACTTCTCTTACACATGTGGACTTATCGGACGGGTAGAAACACGGTGAATCGCTATATCAAAATGAATGTCTCGTCCCCTTAGTTTACTTTACTTAGCTTTGCTATAGAAACAAAAATGGATGGTTGGCCAGGAACAAATGCAAGGGAGATATATTGTGTTGAAAAGACGGATAAAGCGATTTTTCTTGACACTCGCTGGGAGCATGGCTTGCTAAATGGTTGGTCTACTCAATTGCTCCCCATTTGGTTTTTTTTTTTTTTTTTTTTCCACTACACCCTGTAACCACCTAAAAATTCCGCAGTTTCCAAATTGCAATTTGAAACTTGAATGCCTCTTTGGAAGCAAGCTCCAAGGTGGGCGCGCTCCAATAAGTTTGCAAAAAAAGGGGAAGTGGCACAGGACAGAATGGAGTTCAGCAGCGAGAGGTTGGGCAAGTAGGACATAGTAATATGTTACAAAGAAGAGTGGAGGCAGGTAAAAAGAAATACAACTTTGCTGCATTCACCATTTTGCGTATATACTTGTCACATCAAACGTCTAGCCAATTTTTTTTTTTTTTTTTTTACGTCCCGGTCACTTGCACATTCTGTTGCAAAAGAAAGGTGTATACCTGAATGAGCTGCACAAGTGTTGTGTGCATAATTTTGCAGCCAAGTTGCTAAAGTTGAAGGGAGGCTTTTTATAAAAGACAATGCATTTGCAATTGGGACGAAAAAAAATTGCAACCTGGTGAACGGAACGTTCTTGCTGTGCGCACCGTTCAGCCAACTTGGGAATAAATTGTCATGTAAAAAAAAAAAAAAAATGCAAAGAACAGGAACAAAACAGAAAGGGAAACAACCAAACAAAGCAACTAAACAGAGCACTCAAACAGTAGCGAGCGAAGCCCTTTTGCTCTGCTTCTTTCAAAACTAGCGCATTCGGCTTCCCGCCTGTTGAGTTGAAAGTTGTTTTGTCAACCCCCCGCTACGCGCAATTAATTTCGCTTGCCTTTAGTTAATTTCCCTTTTTTATTTTCCCCCCACTCCTTATCCTCGTTTCTCAAGTTTCAGCTTACAATTTCCGTAGTACACATCGTATCAATTCATTTAAAACAAGTTCTGGCAAATTAGGATAAAAAAAAAAAAAAAATTTGTTACTTCATATGTTAGCAGCCCTTTTCTGCGCTTGCTCCTTTTGGTTTATTTATTTTGTTTTTTTTTTTTTTGCTCAATTTGAATCGAGTGTGCTGTATTATTTTATCATTTTCAATACCATATGAGGGAATTTATTACCCATCCAAGCTTGTTCCCTTTCCCCTTTTTCATTTTTGTTGTGAATAATTTTTGCCCACTTTGTGGTACTGTTTCATTTACGCTGACTTAAAGGCACACAGCCGTACGCGCATAAGGCGTAACATGTTTGTGCACACCAACCTCTGTGTGTTCGCGCTAGTCAGTGGCACAGGTAAACAACCCATCATCCCCATTTGGCACCATTCATTTGGAAGGAGCACTTACACCCGGAGTGCATTGACTTCTTCTCCTTAAACGAAGGTGTGTGGATGCAAATGATATGAGTGTATTCATTTGCACTCATTGTATGAGCTATCTGGAGGTGTATTTCCTTCTGTGTGGCATTTGAAGGTACTCCATATAAACGCGGTTACACGAGGGAGAGCATAAAACGGACGGAAAGGGAAAGGGGAATCGCCAGGGGAAAAAGACGATTTGTTGGAGGGTCGAATCCTGAACAAGGAAGACAAAAAGAAAAACGCGCAAAAAGAAGATCTCGCTAGGGCGTCATATTGTCTGGACGGAGAAGAACGAAGGGAGTGCAAATTTATGCTCAGGAAACGCGTTGGTTAAAAAGGGAAGGAAGTTTACCACCAGGGAAGGGACAGCGAAGGAAATAACACTAGAGTAGACAACATAGAAGTGGCAGCCACAGCGTGGACAAGACAAGCATGACGCTGAACATTGTCCAGGAAATACAAAAACAAAATGAAAACCATGTGCAGAATGAAGAAGGCAAAGAGGAAGAATTAGCCACGTATGATTATCCCTCCACGGAGAGGAGGAGAAGTAGAAGACTGTTAAGTCTCACAGGAGACAAAGCCAAACTGATAAAGCAAAATGGTTATTCTGGCCTAACGCACGGCACGAATGGGGGAGAAATTGCGGGACGCAATGTGAACTTAAATACAATCGTGAAGGTTAAGCTCAAGGAAAGCGCACCAACTAGGGACAGAGACAAATTGCAAAAGGAGGAGAACAGGGACGCTCAAGAGGGGAGCAAAGGATGTACTTCCGAGAGGGGGAGCTACATCATGGCGGCAAATAGTGTGAAGAAGAATACATTAGTTAAAAAGGTCTCGTTAAATGGTAACCAGGGGAAGACCTCAAAAGTGAATAAGAAAAAAATTGAAAAGGGCGTGGTTGTCGTGGTGGATAAGAAAAAAAGCGCTCCCTTAAACAAGGGCAACGCGAATCCGAAGGGAACAAGCGTACAAGGAATGGCCAACAAAACGCACAGTACAGTGATCGTGAAGAAGAAGAAAAAGCACCAGGCTGCGTTGAACAGGGCGCCCCTCTTGAGCAACAAGAAGGAGGAGGCGCAAGAGAGCAAATATAACTCCTTCATGGCGTGCAAAATGAGAATAGATAATAATATACAGGAAAAGGAAAAGGAGAAAATGAAGACGGGGCAGATAGAGAACGGACAAGTACCGAAGCGAAAAGAACAGAAGGAACCACCCCCCGTGAAGGACAACCTCCCGGGGGACAAGATAAAAAGCAGAGTTAATTCCGACTCCAAAGAGGAATTATTTCTGCAGAAAAGACTGAAGATGAGGAAGGAATCCTTGCCAAATGGGAAGAAGAGCCATAGCGAAAGGAGTCACTCAAATGAGAGTCAAAAAAAAAAAAAAAAAAAATGACTATCATTAAGAATAAGCAAATAAGGAAGTCAATAAACGAATTCATGAAAAACAGTACTCTCAATAACAGCAATTTTGCACCAAACAGTAAGTACAATATATACAGTTACGGGAAAGGCAAAAATGCATTTTACTCCTTAGAGAGAATTAATTACAGTAGTGGAGATAAACCGAGTGGAGAGGAAAATAAAAGAAAGCTTAATAGAATACCAGAAATTATAAATATAAGAAAGCAAAAATTTGTGATAGGTTCATCCAACAAAAAGTGCGACTTAGTTTTAGGGGGAAACATTGAAGGAGAACAATGTGAATTGGTGTGCAAATGTGTAGAGAAAAATATCAACCACTGTAGTGACATAAACAGGCAAATTAACAAATACAACTTATTTGTTATTAACAAGTCCAAGAGAAATTCAACCCTACTGAACAACTCAGTGGTGGACATTGACCAAGTCAAAGATGAAGATAGACTTTTCCTCGGAATCGAAAACATGGAGAAAAGGACAAGTGCAAAATATATATACAAAATTAAGTACAACAAAATGGCAAACATTTTTAACATAAATAATTTGTGCACGTACAATAAAGACAACTGTATACACAAGACGTTAATTACGAACGCGGAGGATAGAAAAGCTAGCAAAATTGTATCAACTAATTTTTCACTAATCAACCAAAATGAAGAACAGGAATCAGACATATCCATTTTGATATTTTTAATTATTAACAAAACCTCTATACAAAACGAACCGGTGCATTACATGAACAATTTGAACTCCTGCGCCAACCTTAACAGCACACCAAGGAAGATTAATGCAGATGATAATAGCATGGTAAGTAAAGGGTCCACGTCAGTTAACAAAATGATCAAAGAGGATTCGCCAAACACCCAATTTAATGAAAGCATTAAAAAGATTAACAAAATTTGTCAAAGCAGGATTTCCCCTTTGTGCGTAAAGGACTCCATTAAGAAGGAAGAAAAAGTAAAGAGCACGTTAAAAAGCGCCAACCACACCAAGGAACTTCCAGTGACACTCCTCAATGCGTGTGTTGAGTTGTGCAAAGAGATAAACAAAAGTGTGACGAAAGAACATACTGGGGAAGGCAACCACGCCGTTCCGGCCGGTACCCCAGTTACCAAATATCCATCGCTAACACCCCCAAAGGGGATGACACCTCCCAAGCACATTGCAACACCAAAGACGATGACACCTCAAAATGTGAATTTCTCTCATCCATTTCAAAGAGAGCAGAAGAAAGGATCACACATGAACAAATTGTACAACACGTTTCACGCAAGTTTTAGCACTCCTCCACACGGGGGAAGCTACACGGGTGAGACCACCAACGGGATTATCGAATCCAACAGCGTAGCAAAAGACGTGAGGGCAAGAGTTAGCGTCTCTGGAGATAGCGTCAACGGACTGCAGTGTCTGGGCTCCCGGATTAGCAGCGCTTCCAAAAGTTTAAGCCAGCCAAACGTCTGCGAAGAGGCCCATTTGCACAGCAACTCACAAGATTATACTTCGGATAACAGCAAATATAATTTGCAAAAATGGGAAGGCAAAAATTTTCTGCAAAGTAACACAAACAGAGAAGCGCCCTCAGAGAAGGAGGACAAAAATGGCGAAAAGGATTTTGCTAACCAAAACTGCACCTCGGATGGCCGTGTCTTTTGCCCACCATCTATCGATCAACACGCGCGTGTCTACTGCGAGGATGTAGACGCGAGGAAGGCAGAACAAATTGGGGAGGAAGTCCATGAAGAAGAATTGAATGTGTCATTGAATAACAGCTTATTGATAACCCCTGGAAAAGGAACCCAATTGGTGGACAGCAACCAGATGACCTTCTATGACTGCAAAGATGAAAAGCCAGGGAAGGAAGAAGCAGCCCCTCTACCTGAGAAGGCGAATAAGAATACCAACATGGTGATAAAAACATCCGAATCGAGTGAGTTCATAAAAAAAAAGGAAAAGGAATTATACTCTGTTTTATATTCCAAAAGTAGTGAAAGCAAAGCAAGTGGTGTAAATACAGATTTTGTTCTATGTCTGAAAAATGAACAGGGAGAAGAGAGGTATCTCAAAGTGATTGGAGAAATTAAGGTGAAAAGAAATGCCATTCTGTCAGACATAAAACATAACATAGATTTAAAACTGCTTGACAAATCTATTGAGCTTACAACTCTTAATAAGATAAACTATTTAAAATGTGAATCTATTTCTAAAGGGAAGTATTCGATTCGTTTAAATGCCTTTTCCGATAAACTGGATGAAACGAAGCTTGGTGAATTTTCAGCCCTGCACCTGGACTATATTGATAACACAAATTTTTCTCATTTAGACACATTGGAGTCACTTGAATTGAAGAAAATGCTATTTATAAAGTACGACGAGTAACCCTACGTTTTCAGCGTTTTGTGAATTTTTTTCATAAATTTCCATGCGCATTCAGGTAGGGTGTGCCAAAAGGAATAAGTTTTTGTCGCTAATTCGTTCTTTTTAAACGCCTTTTTAAAGTGCCATTTTGTTCTTTTTTTAAACACTTTTTAATGTGTCATTTTGTTTTTTTTTTTTTTTTTTTTTTTTTTTACCCTTTTTTGCATTCCCTCTTGACCCATTAATTTTGCCCACGTTGTTGTGTATGTTTTTAAGTAATTTATAAATGAGCCATGTGTTTCTCTTTTCTTGCGGTTACCCCGTGTCCTCTGTTTTTTTTTCCTCTACCAAAAAATTATTCCCTTTTGAAGTGTTTTATTATTTTACCTGTTTTTAGTATATGCGTATTCACGTGCATACATCATTCGTGCACGTGTGCCAACATTTTTAAATCCTTGCGAAATTTTATTTTTAATCGCCTCTGTCGCTTTTTTTTTTAATTGCTTGGTTTGGAGTATTATTTACAAAAGGGGGAAACACGCAAAGGGCGTCGAAAAAAGAAAACAAAAATTTGGGACGCGGTTTTTATAGCCGCCCTGCGTAAATAAAGAATTATGACCGCTGTAACTCAGTGAGCGCATACAACATGTATATTTGTCCAAACGTGAGCAGAATAAATCGCCTTTTCTTTTCCCATAACGTAAAGCCGTAAAAATAGGGAAAAAAACAAAACCGTTCAGCATTTCTTCCAGTTTATAAAAATTAAAAGAATAAATCTCAAGGGACGCATGTTAACTCGATCTTAGCGGGGACGCGAACAAACCAGAAGAAGAGCGGGTTACTAAATTTAGTTGAATAATTTTCCCAAACAATCTGTTCACCTATAAGCCTTTCGTGTCAACATATCGCGATATTTGTGATGAAAAAAATAAAAATAAAATAAAAAATAACGCGCCCCAAGTGCAGTCAGTACCAACATGTATATATTTTGCCTAAGCATAAATATCCGCGAGTTGAGGCAAAAGTTAAAAATATAGAGTTTATGCCATTTTAACGATTATTTTTGTAAATTCGTTTTTTCAAGGGGATACAGTGGTTACATATTTAAATTATAAGCACGTCTATATGTATATATATACGCAATAAATATACGCTTTTATAATACATGTAAGTTGTTTCCACTGGAGCTGCTCCCGCTTTGCTTTTCCCCGGCTAACGCGACGACGAATCAGTTTATAAATGTTGGTGAAAGAAAAAAATAGCTAGCTAGGGAAAAAAAAAAAAAAAATATGAACATGTCAATTAAAAAAGGGGGATATCAAATACAAAATAAAAAGATTTTTAACAAAAACCATGGAAACAAAGTGAAGAAGAACAGGAAAGGAAAACATGGCAGGAAGAATGATGGGAAGGACCACGTCGACGAGAGAGCCCAGTTGCAGAAAGATATCGATGAGAAGTTAGAAGCTCTTGTTGAGGAAAATAAAAGAAAACAATACGAAAAGCAATGGAAAAAGCACTTTGAAAAAGGCCAAGAGCCCAGTGATAGCCCCAACAAGGGGAAAAATGGCGAAGATGAGAGCAACAAGACTGGAAATAGCACCCACAATAGTGACAAAAAAAAAGAAAAGAATAAGGTTTATAAAAATAACCTAACGATCATAGACAAAAATGTTCTGACCGAGCACGAGTTTAAGGCATTACCAATAAGTAAACGTACCCTAAGAGCTCTAAACGAAAACAATTTTGTGCACATGACAAATATACAGGCAGTGTCTATCCCTATCGTTTTGCTAAATAAGCACATCTACGCGCAGGCACAAACGGGAACTGGAAAAACGCTATGTTTCTGTGTCCCACTGGTGGAAAAACTGTACAGAAATAGCATCGATAACTACAATCGCATTTTGGGAGGGCTGATAATTACCCCAACGAGGGAGCTGGTGTTTCAAATTTTTGAAGTTCTAAATATGTTAAATAAATATCATAAGCTAAATATATGCTGTGCGATAGGAGGGAAGGATGAAGAGAGAGAGAAATCAATTTTTAGTTACGCAAACATTATTGTTTGCACAACGGGCAGATTACTGTACCACTTGGAAAACAACTACTACTGCAACTTGGACTACTTAAGCACCCTCGTGATTGACGAAATTGACAAATTAATTGATAGCAGTTTTTACGACAATTTGAAGAATATTCTGTTATACAAGCCGAAAGAGAATTGCCAAATCTGTCTATTCTCAGCCACGATTTGTAAATTTTTAAGCATCATATTGAGAACCTTCAACATTAAGGACTACGAATATGTTAGCATCAACGACAACGACAAATACATCGAGAGTAACAACGTGAAGCAGGTCTACATCGAGTGTGATATTTATAGCAAAATCAACTATTTGTATACTTTTTTGTTTTCAAAAAAGAACAAAAAGATAATTGTTTTTTTCTCCACATGTAAGCAAGTTCGATTTATGTATGAAGTATTTAGAAAAATCAAAGTTGGTGTAATGAAGTTTTTACAACTGCATGGGAAGTTAAAACAAACAAGCCGCTTAAACACGTACCATTTTTTTTCCAAAAAAAGAAATTTCGTATGCTTATTCACCACCGATATCGCTTGCCGAGGTTTGGACTTCGCCTCTGTAGACTGGGTCATCCATTTTGATTTTCCAGAAAATGTGGAAACCTTCATTCACAGGTCAGGTAGAACGGGAAGATTCACCAATGTAGGTAACAGTCTCATCTTCCTAACCACAGAAATTGATAACAAGAAAATTTTCTTAAACGTGCTAAAAGAAAACAACATAGAAATTAAGGAAAAATTTATCAAAAAAAATAAGCTGTTTGACATTAACAATAAAATACACTCTCTAAATGCTGCCTTTGTCGATATAAAATATTTGGCCAAAAAGGCCCTCATCATTTATCTGAGGCATTTGTATATTGTCATGAAATTTAAGGACATAAAGAAGCTGAACCTTAATCAGCTGGCCTACTCATATGGGCTCATCGAATTTTCCCAATGCATGATGGAGGAGTTGAACATAGATGATCACCAGAAGGTCGAAGTTAAAAAGAAGAGGTCCCGTTTTGAGAAATTTATGGAAATACTAAAAAGGAAGAAGTTGAAGGGGGGAAATGCACCCGTGGAGGGGGAGAAAAGCGAAGGTGATGTTCCCTCACATGAACCTGATGGTAGACAGGGCACGGGGGACAACTCCCCAAGAAATGCCCCACAGCTACCAGATTTGGACGCAACAGAGGAAGAAGATTTATTTATTCAAAAGGAGGCCCAAATTGAGGACGACTCTCCAGTGATGTTACCAACCAAAAAGAGAAAGAAGCGAGTGAAGGTGGCCAAAACGCTAAGCAGGAGTGTGCTCTATGATGACAGCGGAAATGAAATCAATGACGACGGGGTGAAGTTAAAAATTTTGGTGAACGACTTGAATGAGAACACGAAAGAGGATGCGCAGGACACGGAATGCGAATACGATGGTGACGATGCGCATGAAGGCAAAGATCGATATCAAGGTGGTGACCAGAATGCTGGTACTACCCCTGGTGGAAATACCTACATTCAGTTGCTGAGGGAAAAAATTCAAAGGGAAAACGAGAAAAGAAAAATGAGCAAGCTAAGATATGAAGACCTAAGTGACGATGCGAATAACTCCGAGGAGTATTCAGACGCCGCGACAGATTCACCTACCGATGAAAGTGACGAATCGGAAAGTTCTCAGAGTGACCAAACTTCAGACGAAAAGTTGGAGGGAAGAAAAGATAACCATTCTGTGAAAAGGAAAAAGGCCTTACTGAATAAGGGCAAACTGAAGGATACTCCGGAGGAAAATGCAAATGGTAAAAAGCGTGCTGCGTCTTATTTTTATTTTTTAGTCCTATGATGCACGTACATGTGTGCGTTCGCAAAATAGTGGAAGTGTTAGCTCCCTCCTCGAGCGTTGCATATTTAATGTTACCTTCTCACATATATGAACATTTTTTTTTTTTTTTTTTTTGCAGAAGATATATCCGACTTGGAAAGTAAAGTGATGCAGTTTTTATAGGCTAATTTCCCCCGTGCCCGGATTATTGGTTTTTAATGCCCACACCCAGAACTATTTATTCATTTTTTTTTGTTCTTTTGCTAAGCATAGCATCATTCATTTTGAGAGGTGCTTTCAATGTTAAATATTTCTCCATGTAGTGGTACCCTTCCTTTAAAGAGTGCAACTGTGGAGTTATTTTTTTTTTGTTTTGTCATTTAAAACTACTATACTATAATGTTGCCATTTTTTAAATGGTGCAAGCGGTTTGCACGCGGTGCACATAGACATAGGCAGCACATGCGTGCATACCTTTATCATTCCCCTTAATTGTAAAAATTAAATGAAAGTTTTTCCCCCTGTCCCCTGGTTGTCGTTAATTTTTACGAATAGAGAAAAGCATCGCTTTGGTGTAATGGAGGGTGTATATTCAATCAGGACGAGCAAGTTAACCTCATAACCAATGGGTGAGAGGTCAATGCTATAGCGGATCATCCTCCTATCTTTATAAGGAGGCGGGGGATTATGCTAAAATGGCTCAAGCCAGGACTGCGCTCAAAGGGGGGGTCCAAATTTGTAAATGTTCCCCTGCGTATATGTAAAATTATGGAGATGCGCGAATAGGGGACAATAAAAGGAGATGAGAAGCAGTTTAAGGGATGAACTTTCGAACAGTTGGGCAAACGTAGAGGGAAATGGGCACTTGTTTCGTAATTGTGTTGCTACAATTCGTAGTAGGAAGCATAATCTTATAGTGAAAAAGCTAAATGCGCAAATGTCGCCTAAGTGAAGCTTTAAAACAGCGTATTTTTACAAAGTGGGAAAATTAGCTGTGTTTTTTTTTTTTTTTTTTTTTCTGTCACCATTTGGAGTGAGAAAAGTCATATTTTTTTATTATTTTTAAATTACCCATATTGCGCAGATTTTTTTTTATATAAAATTCAACACAACAATTCGGCAAAATTGTAAATGCCCAAAATAGGGGTTCCCCTTCCGCAAGGCCACGCCCGCGAGGAATCTAAGAAAAACGTAATAAATTGGGAGAAAAAAAAAAATTCATTGCTGCGGTGGAAGCGGTGATGTTATTAGAAAAGATTTAATTTTTTTCGATGGAGTAAAAATTAAAATTGAGCCACGATTTAATGAATTGATACGTTGAGAGCATTATTGTAGGCCCACGCAAATTGTGCACTGCGTGCAATTTAAGTATACGTGTAAAAAAGGCCTGAATGCCCCTGCATCTTGGTATATGAGCACAATTTTTATTTTTTCCCCAAGAAGAGTGAATATCTTTACAGCTTAAATATTAATGGAACGGGAGAAGTTTGGTGTGGGGCAGTGAAATTGCCCACAAAATATCCCGAAAAAATGGGTGACCAAAATGGCTATTTGTTAGCATATACATACATTACGAGTTAGTATATATATTGTCTGGCTGTATGCCCTTGGGTATGCAGCTGTAACTCATAGAGACACGCAAATTCGTTTGCAAAAATCATGGGATGCTACGATGTGGGGAGGATATTCCAATGCCTAACGTTCGTTCCCGTCTATTGCAAGACACCAGTTACTGAATGTGTTCTGTTGGAAAGAGAACATATTGAAGTAATAATGAACTGCAAACCGCCTCAGGCTGGAAACAGAGCAGGGTCAGTGGTCGCTGGTGTTACGGTGCGAAGATTACGGTTGAGCGGGCAAGGTGTCTGAATCTCTCTGACAGGGTATGTGCACCATTGTTTTTTTTTTACACAGGAAAAACAGAATAAAAAATATGTATATGTTGCGTGCACTGCGGAGAATAGGGTCGTATGTGGAGAATAAGGTCATACGCGCACAATATCGTGTTATGTGTACATTATGATGTGCTGTCTTACTAATGGAGAATAAGCGCATGTGTGGAGAATATGGTTTGGTGTAATGCCTTAGGCATTGGCCATAGTATAGGTCGGGTATGTATTAGTACGCACCCTTTCCTAGGTTCCCGCACTTACCGCTGAGTAATTTTTCCTGCCTACACTGGGCATACGAAGATTGTTGAGGGGAATCTGAATTTTTTAGTGAGCTAGATATTCCCGTACAAAGAGCTTTTTTTTACCTTTATTTCCCTAATTTCCGTTTCAAACTTTAAGATGAACCGTAGCTAGCTACAAGGGCGATGCCCCAATGTAACACTTAGTTCATAATTCTGGGCTTTTCCCTTTGGTTGATTTACCTTTGGCATAGTTTAGGGTGTAACGTTTAATATATAAATTGTTATGTATAAAATATAACTGTTCTGTTCCGTTCGATACTGAGTAATAACTAACTGACGGCGCGCACTATGGAAACTGACCGTATTACAGGTTTTGATAATATTACCCCATACAGGATAGGGCTACGGCATGGCCTATATACAGGGCGCTTCCTTCCATATAAGGGAATAGCCCCGCATTGACAGAAAATTATACGTCAACTTTATAAACCCATAATAAATATAAAGGGGCGCGTTCCATAACATGAAAAGGAAGCAGAAGGAACATGGGACGTAAAGGCTTATTTAAAAATAATATGGCTGGGTTTTATTATTTCCCCTGAGGGAATGGAACAGGTAAGCACAAATAATGTATATAATATAAATCAAATATTCTTCCAAGGGCTTTAATCCTTAATGGTTCAATTTTTGTACAGGGCGCACTCTGGAAAATATTGCGTAAAATTTTGGGTCCCAAAAAAAATGACTCATCACTTAGTGTTCCCGAGCGGTCTCCCACCTCAGTACTGGCTAAGCCTTACAGTGCTTAACTTCAGAGTTCTGATGGGATCTGGTGTGGCCACTGTAGTATGAACGAGTCGTAATTTTAAGGCACCTGCAACGTCATTATTTTTCTAGGTCCCCTCATGAAACGTATGCACCCCGCAATAGTCCCTCTGTTTCCTCACCCGCAGGGTATTATATAATCATACGTATATATATATGACTCATAGCGGGCATGCTGTACATATAATAATTGAGCACTTGCCTATGCATAAATTGGTAGGCCCACTATAGCACGACGCTCAAAAGAAATGACCACTAATAGTTCATATCCTTTTCCGTAGAGGGGAACACTTGTTATGTGCCAATTTAATACTGCTTAAAGAATAATACGTTTGAGATGGTATTGTGCACAGATAATCTTAAAGCAAGAAAAAAAAAAAAAAAGGCCGCGGAGCCAAAAGTACAAGAGAATGATGTATATTTTCCCTAAGGGCCATAATAAAAACACAGCATTGAACACAAGGACGTTCACCATATGGGGGTATCACCTCAGCATAGGCTATACATAGAGAACACAGCCGGTAGCGTACTTGCGGAGTATCCTGTATCCAAACCATTGGGGTCTTTCATGCGCCAAAGTGTTAGCTTGGTGAACACCATTAAAACCGCTGGATGTCAACGCAAGAATAATGATCCCTTGGGGGCTATGTCAATTTGTAAGAGTATTTCCTGTGCTAACGTAGCCACCAAAGTTAAGTCGTATTCCCCCACGCAACCTATAACATCTTATGAACTGCATTAAATCCACTACTTGGAAACACTACGTACTCTATAACAGGTTTGACAAGTGGTAAGTATTATTTTATTTTAACGATATAAGGGCAAGAACCTTGTGTCAAGCTTCGCCCTAGAAATAGGAACAAGAAAGGCAAACCATCTTTGTTGCAGCATTCACAGGTATGGGAACATTCCATGTTAATGTTTTTCCCTTCATTTATTTATTTATTTATTTGTTGGATGCATAGTTTTATTAGTACAATTGCTAAGTACCGTCATTATTCATTACATCAGTAGGTGGCCCCCACATTAGTCCCCTATTAAAGGTTACTCATTTATTCCTCCTATAAATGGGGATGCATAAAATTTTGGGTCCCAAAAAAAATGACTCATCACTTAGTGTTCCCGAGCGGTCTCCCACCTCAGTACTGGCTAAGCCTTACAGTGCTTAACTTCAGAGTTCTGATGGGATCTGGTGTGGCCACTGTAGTATGAACGAGTCGTAATTGTAAGGTACTTGACGGGTCATATTGTTGTATCCTTCATTTAATCGACGCCATAATTACTTCGTCCCCCCGTGAATAAGTGCCAACTATATTTTTATTTGCCGAAAAATATTTGTTTATACTCTGTTTCTATAAACTAGGTTCCAATCCGCTCAATTAAATTGAGGTCATATTTAATGAAGAATTCCCTCCTGATACGGTTCAAATTGTTACGCAAAAAAAAAAAAATTATGCCAGCGTTTGCATAAATATAAGGCAACATATTTGTAAAATTGCTTGTTAAAAAAACTACCAAAAATAAAAATGTACTATCATGTACTACTATAGGACTAGGCCATTTATGCGTATTTTCAGGACCACTTTTGTGAAAATACATTAAATTTAAAATTAGCCATAAATATAAAGGTTCAATAAAGTTATGCTGTTACTATAAACTGCGTCGTCTGTTTATAATTTTTGTTTCCACTATGCAACTTCGTTCGCGCTTTAGGCTACAGTCCAGTAAAGGATATAGATGGCCAAAATCAGCTGCGACCATACATTTCCTCCTCAGGGCGCTTCACCATTTTGTATATAACGAATATTTCAACTTGTCCGTTGCTTCCATACGGCCAGTTATCCTCCTGTTGTAGGGAAGGAAAAAATGCCAACACGGGAGCCTAATATATCCCCCTTTACATAGCCTAAAAGTGAGCAAAAAAAAGACACCCAACTATTAACAAAATGGGACCACAACTCACATCTGACGCTAGTAACCTCCTAACAGGTACCCTGCGTTATAATACAACACAAGCAAGTGATGCGGTACTTCTTAAGACAATAGAAAACACCATTGCTTTGGTGAAAAATGCGCAAATATGCGAAAATGCCTCTAAGCATTCGTACGCTATGCCTGCATATGCGCTGTCCCGCTATGGTAGGGCCAAACCCAGCGAACAGGTAACCCATCAAACGACCCAACCGGTCATGAATACATATACAAAAGGTTTCAAAAAAAAATG